AAGGAGTACAGATGGGGACCAAGAGTAGGTGCGCAGAGAAGAATAGGCCAGCGAAGCCGGAAACAAAGAAATAAGAAGGGACACGAAATCGGCCCATCGAACTAGCAGCCAGAGGCAGGGAGGAGGTTGGGGGCCAAGCAGGGAGCGACGCAGTGAAGAAATACGGAGGGGAGGCCGGCCGAATCACAGAGGGGCGGAGGTGGGCTACTCAAGGCCTCGCCTGGTGCGTCACGAGCTGCACGGGCAGGAAAAAGTCGCGCCCGAGCTCCTGCGAGATATGGGGAGATACGGGGAGATGTGGGGAGGTGTGGGGAGTTGTGGGGAGACCCGGGGAGCATGCAGGGACGTCGGTGGGGAAGGGCGGGGTGGGTTGGGTGGGGTGTCAGGGGTTTCTCGCCCCCCCCCCCCCCCAAATTCACGCCAAGACGGTGCACCATGGAGGTGCGGTCTTCCGCATCTATGTGCGAGCTCCTCCATGAGGAAGGGCTGGAGCTCCGTGTTTGGGCCGTCGCAGACCATCTCGTACTCCGGGCAGTGCCGCACCGCCCCCGTCTCCGCCTCGAGCAAGCTCCACCCCGACACTCCCACAGTCGCCGGGTGGAGAGCCGCAGAGACGGCCTCCGCGAGGAGCTCTCCGCTCGGGTCGTCGCTGCCGCGGACGATCCGCCAGGCGGAGCCGGTGTAGAAGAGGTGGAGCTCGGGCACGTCGCGTCGCACGTACTGCGGGTGCGCGACCAGGTCCGCGTCCACCTGCGAGACGCCGAGCAAGGAGCTGCCTCAGTTTGGCGGGAAGCGACACACCCAGCTTGGAGTGGGTTGGCGGAGCTCACCCGGAGCCACTCGCCGTTGAGCAGGCTGCCGGCCGGTGCGCCGCGAGAGAGGAGCCGGCCGTACCCGCCCAAGGCCTCGGCCCCGCGCTCCGCCTGATACTCCGCGCGGCGGCGGGCCGCCTCGGCCGCGCGCTCCGCCTGCTTCTCCGCGTTTATTCGTGCCGCGAGCCGCTCCGCCTCCGCCTGCTCCTCCGCGTCCATCAGCGCCGCAGCGAGCCGCTCCGTCGCGCGGAGTAGCTCCCCCGCGTCGGAGCCGGCCGCCCCGTCGAGCGCCGCGAGCGCCTCGCGAAGCGCCTGCCATGGATGTCGTAGGGATAATGATGCATCACACGGATGGAGGACGAAGGAGGCGGCGGCGGGTCCTCGTCGGGCGGCGGTGAGTCGGCGTCGGGCAGGCACGCCGAGAGCGCCCCCTTCGGCGCGTCCGGGCCCTTCTTCGCCTTCTTCTTCTTTGGCTCGGACGCAGCGCCCTCGCTGCGCGACTTTTGTGCACGCGGCTTCTCCCCCGGCTTGCGCTGCGGCGTCGGCTTTGACTTGGCCGCTGCAGAGGGCTGGCCCAGCTTGCGCGGCTTGGAGTCGAGCTTGCGGCGGACGGGCGCGGCTGCGCTCGGCTTGGGCCCGTCGCCCTCCCCCTCGGCTGGCGCGTCGCCCTCGAGCGACGCCTCGGTCAGCGCCGCGTGAGCGGCCGACGGGGTGGCGGGAGCGGGCGTGGGCCTCTTGCGCGCCGCCGGCGCGGTGCGGACCGCTGGCTGGTGCAGGCCCCGGCGGCGAGGCGGCGGCGGCGACAACGTGCCCTCTCCCGGCGGGGCGGCCGCGGCCGGCGGCGGGTGGACTGGCTCGCTCTCGGGCATGGAAAAGGGGTCGCTCGGCGGCGCGTCCTTCTCGTCACCCTCGTGCTCCTCGACGTCCGTCTCGACAACCTCCGGGATCGGCGCCGGCGAGCCAGCGGGCGCGGGCCTCGCCGCGGGATCGACCTCTCCGTCGCCGTCCTCGTCGTCCTCGTGCTCCTCGACGTCCATATCGACGACCTCTGGGACCTGCGACGACGAGGGCGCCTCCGGCTCCTCCTCGCCGACGCAGCCCGCCGCCTCGCCGGCAGCGACGGTGTCCGGCGCGACGGAGGCCTGCGACGCCTCCGCGTCCGCCTTGCTCTCCCGGTCGGAGCTGCTGCTCGCCCACGGGCACGGCTTGGACGAGCCGCCGTTGCCGCCAGAGGCCGTTCCCTCGGCCGGCACGACTTCCTGCTCGGGCATCTCGCTGCACTCGGCTGCGCCCTGCGGGTCGGAGGGACGCGCGGGAACTCGCGCGCGCCTCGCGCTCTCCGCTGCGAGAACCATGTGTCTGTGCACAGTGCTTTGCGCTGCGGCTCCGGCTTGCTTGCGGCGGCGCGGGGCGGGCGGGGCGGCGGCGCGGCGGGCGCCTGCTCGAGCGCCGCGGTGGACAGATCGTTCCCAACCTCTCTCAGAGGGCGCCTGCCCGAGCTCGAGGCGCCGGAGGAGGCGGCCGTGCGACGGAGGACCATCTTTCGATCCATGCTTGTGGACGTCACAAGGCAGACCGCTCCGACAGCGTACAGCAGGTCAGTGGCTGTTCACTAAGCGACTGTGACCTGTGTGTGGCTGTCGAAGTCACCGTCGATCTGTGCTGGGACAAGGCAGGTCAGTGGCTGTTCACGTAAACGCACAACCCCGGGCCCGAAATCGCACTACAGAGACAGTCACGCAACACAAGAAAGAAATCTCTCTCGCAACACGGGGTCCCAGGGAAGGCAAGCAAAAACCTTATCGCGCGCAATAGTGGAATAGTGGGTGTAATGTAGAGATCAGTGCAAAGTCAACCTTGGGGACGGACGATCATGCTGTCAGATGGTCAAATTCCGAATCGCTCTTGTTCACACCTCTGCTGACAGGTGTGTGTGAAATAGCTGTATCTACTCAGCTGCTCCGCTTATACTTACCTGTGAAGCGTGAACAGCGTCACGAGTTTGAACAGCGTTCTTTTGAACGGATATCGGTGTCGATCGAAACACCGCTCTGACAGCGGTCTGCGCCTCACCAGCTGCCCCCGCCGATGGCGATGAACAGACTGTTGAGCGCTGTCAGAGCGGTGTTTCGACACCGAGATCGTTCAAAGGATCGCTGTTCGGCAAATTCGTGACGCTGGTTCACGCTTCATTAGGCGTAGAGCTCTAAGGTATAAGCCGAGCAGCTAAATAAATAAATAAACAAAGAGTTGGACAAATACCAAAATAAAAACGGACACACCTCGCAACTGTGAGATGGGTAAAAAGGAACAGGCCCCCGCCCTTGCGATCTTTGTGCAGGGTTCTTTGTGGGTGTGGTCGGCGACTAGCCGGGGTCGTCCTCCCGATGGGGGACTAGCACTAGCCGTCTTCCACATGGTCCCTCGGGTCCCTGCTGCTTCTAATCTCTTCGTACATCCTCCTGCTGATCTCCGCAAAGTCCTGCCCCCTCCCTCGTCTCGCCCTGCGCGTCTGCTCTGCCTCACCGTCTTCTGCCCTGCGTCGTCTGGCGACGTGCTCGGTTTATGACGAACCCTGGCCCGTCGCATTTTAAAGCCGCCATCCGGGTACTTATCTACGTGCGCGACACAGCTGACCGCGCCCTCGTCATGCAGCCGAATTCCAACCGCAACCTTGAGAGCTACGTCGATTCAAACTGGGCCACGAAGTACTCTTGCTCCGGTGGCATGTTCTTCTTCTACGGATGTCTCTTCCACTGGTTCTCCAAAATGCAGCGATCCGTCACGCTGTCTAGTGCCGAGGCAGAGTTCTTCGGCGCCATGCTAGCCGCCAAGGAGGTGATTTTCATCCGTGAGCTACTGATCGACCTTGGATTTTCCATCGACGGCGCCAGCGTCATCAACTGCGACAGCAAGTCCGCCGTCGGCATGGCCTTCGATCCCGTTGCCTTCAAGAAGACCAAGCACATCTTGCGCGCCGCCGAGTTTCTTCGCGATCTCGTCAGCCGTGGCGTTATCTCTGTCGAACACCTCCCCGGCGTCGTGATGCTCGCCGACCTACTCACGAAGGCTGCCTCGCGGGCCATCTTTACTGGCCTGATCAAGCAGCTCGACGACTTTCATGCCCTTTGAATTTATTTGTCCCTCGCGCCCCGCACTCGGGCCAGGAGGGGCTGTTCCCGGGCATTCACACTATATTCCTCTGAGATAATATTATATTTCGCCGCCACCGCGGCGCGCGCGCTTTATCCGCGCGCTATATTAGTAGAGCCAAACTTGTGTTCTTGTTTTGGGTCAAACTTGTTACAGCTCAGCGAACGCGATGCGGCCCCTGCCTAGCCTCCTGCTCCTATGCGCGAGCTATGGCGTGACCGCTATCGAGTATACACTTCGCGCATTTCATGATAAATAAATAAATATAACGAGCACCTTCACTAGGAGATGGGTAAAAAAGGAACATGATAAGTGCCAAGTCCTCTCTCTTTTTAAATATCGCAACATATCGCCGCAGCCGGCGCACAGAAGCGACAGCCTCTGAGCCTCTCGCTCCTCAGAGGGTGAAGGAACGCGCAAGCTTGGCCTTCGGCTTGGCGAGAGGGCTCGCCTGTTGAGGGGGGATGGGCATGACGATCGCCCGCATCGCAGACCGCTGTCGGGGTGTGGCGTGGAGCTCACCGCATCGATAGTCGCGGAGGCGGTCCACACACCGGCCGGGTCGGAGGCCGAGTCGACGTACTTCACGTCGAGGGCCCGCTGCTGCAGCTGGGCCTGCCGGCGAACAAGTCATCGTGAGGCAGGAGGGCGGGCAGGTTGGAGTCTGGAGGGTAGGGTGTGCAACACGAGTGACAGCGCCAGGAGACCGGCTGCGCCCGCCCGCGTGCGATGAGCGCACCGTCAGCCCGACCGAGCGGCCTGAGGAGAGCGGCACCTTGTAGGACGCCGTCGCGCCCGTCACGCGCTGCTCCGACGGCCACACCTCGGCACCCAGCGCCGCGCCTGCCACCGCCGCACTCAGCTTGACCGAGGCGGTCTTGGCCTTGACGAGCAGGCTGGGCTCGGCTGCAATCTTGACACCGCCCGCTGCGGCAACTGAGGCGCTGGCGCTGATCTTGCTGAGCGCCGAGGGGAGCGTGGGGCCGGAAAAGTCTGCAGACACGATGCCGGTCGGCACGTCCGCCTGCAGCGTGAGTGCCGTCTTCTTGGCCTTGAAGTCGCGCTTGGCCTTGTAGCCGAGGCCTTCGCCGACCGCGCCGCTCAGCGAGGCAGACTTTGGTCCCGACAGGAGCACCTCCGGGTCATACTCCACCACCGCCTTGGTTTTGACGTTGCCGATTGAGACTCGCTGCGTGAGCGTCCAGAGCGACGAGACGGGCGGCCCTCCGCCTCCGGAGCCGATGTCGGAGGACCAGACAGCAGCGAGGCGGCATCTGGCGAGCGGCAGTGCCAGCAGCGTTGCCAAGAGGGTGCGGGTGATCATGATGGGGGAGATCACGACAGTGTGCTCCGGCTCGGGGGTGCCTCTCGGTGATCACTCGCTGGCGCCTGGCGCGTTTTCTTTTTGTCGTTTTAAGGCACCGCAACCCAACTCTTAAAGCTCTCGGTCTTTCTTGATTTGCCAACAATATACCTACAGCCCTCTTCCGAGAAAGTGCTAGAAACGCTGTCTCCCCCTACATCAAGTGCGACCTGTCGATCCAGGATCGCCCCCCTCGGCAGAGAGCTGGCAAAGAGACGACCACCTATGCTGGCTCGCTCCCGCACGCTCCTTCGCCCAGTCGCCTCGCATGCGCGGCGGCCCCTCTGCACCGGGGGGAAGGTGTCACCGATGAAGACCGGGACGGAACTCTACATGAGCCTCTACCCGGAGGCCTCGAGCGACAGTGGGTGAGGGAGCGATGATTTCATCAAAGCACTGAGCGCCTGGCTTGCACCATCAGCACTGAATTACCCGCGCGATTGAGATCCACGCTCGCACTTCGAGTCGCCACCCGCATCCCACAGCCGCTCTACTTCCCGCAGGCTGCGCCTCGGCAACATCACTCCTGATTTTGCGTGCGAGACAACGCACGGCCACTGGAGCTCCTTTCACGTGCGCTCGAGGGCCAGCACACCCATCGACCCACCCTCGCCGCACAGCGCGCCCCCACCTCGCGCCGCGCAGGCGTGGAAGAAGGACAAGTGGGCGATCCTATTCTCGCACCCCGCAGACTTCACGCCGGTCTGCACGACGGAGATCGGCCGCCTCGCCCTCAAGTACGACGAGCTCACCGACCTCGACTGCCTCGTCGCGACCCTGTCGGTGGACCCGGTCTAAGTCGCACGAGGAGTGGCGACGACGCGGTGGAACCTTCCGAGAACCTTTTTCGGAGCCTTCTCGCAGGTCAAGTCGCACGAGGAGTGGCTCGAGGACGTGGTGGCGCACTGCGAGAACGAGATCGAGGTCAAGTTCCCGATCATCGGCGACGCGGACCGCTCCATCTCGACCGCGTACGGCATGATCGACCCCGCGACGTCCGGCGAGCAGGAGCTGCCCCTCACCATCCGCGCCGTCTTCATCATCAACCCAGAGAACAAGCTGATGCTCTCCCTCAACTAGTGAGCGATAGCGCGCCCCAGTCCCGGCTCCAGCCGCCGCTCCCGCCCCCAACAAACCCGCCCTCCCAACCACGGACCACGACCCGCCCTGCAGCCCCGCCTGCGTCGGCCGCAACATGGACGAGATCGTCCGCTGCGTCAAGGCGCTGCAGCTCTCGTACCAAAAGTCGATCGCTACGCCGGCGAACTGGTGCGCATATCTCGGCTGAATCTCGGCCGATGTCGGCTATCTCTCGGCTATCTCTCACCCGGCCCGCTGCTCCGCAGGCCAAACAACCACGCCGACATCCCCCTTGGCGACGGGCGCACGACGTCGTTCAAGGGCCGCCCCGATCACCGCCTGCACGACCCGCGCCTCCACGAGTCGGAGGCCGACCGCGCCTCTCCCCCTCAGGCTCCGTCTTCCTGCTCCCGACCGTGTCGGACGAGGAGGCGGCGGCGCACTACCCGGGCTACCACACCTGCGACGTCCCCTCCAAGAAGGAGTCGCCTCCCCCTCCCCCTCGCAAACCTCCTCGCGGGAGGGCGACTCGCACCCCCCGCCCCTCTCCTCCGCCAGGCGTACCTCCGCCTCGTCACCGAGGAGCAGGTCAAGACCGCGCCAACCAACTAGGAATGGCCGCGACGCGGACTACGCGAGCCGCCAGGCACCAACCCGGGCAGAGGCAGCCGTGGAATCAGCGCGCGGGCGGAGATGTCCAGCAGTTTTGCAGAGACTTGCAGATGGATGCAAGAGTACTATTCTAGCCAGTAGAGGAGCCTCGCAGTTCGGGCTCGGCCAGTCTCCAGACAGCGAGGCGATGTATTTTTTGTGTACGTAAGATCGGTGTACCGTGTACGTACTTTTATCTTTTAGCTTACTCTGGGAGAGAGAGCTATAGGCGCAACGCCTCTCTCTTTTCTCCCAGTACGAGGCTGATCAGGCCGTGTCCCCAGCACAGCTTTGGCTTCGACGGGCGCCTCCCAGGGTGCGCCGGGCGACCGACTCGAGCGGCATGCGGCTTCGGACAGGCCTCGGCCCGGCTCCTGGCGGGTCGCTGAAGCGTCTCGGCGGCTCTCTCTCGGTTGCGCGGTTGCGCGGTTGACGCTTTTTTGGCGCTCACGGCGGGCAGCGAGGCTGGCCTTGAGGTCGCAGCGAGCCGTCCAGACGTCTCACGGGGCGTCGCGCATATCACTCGTGG